ACTCAGAAATGTCATTTCAGCGAGTCCCTAGGACAGGTCACCTTCAGCAAAGGTAAATTCCTTGCATCCATTTCTTCCAATCGCAGCAGGGCTCTATGGCTATAACGGATTCTTGGTGGGACTGCTCATGGCCATCTATTCTGACAAAGGCGATTACTACTGGTGGCTCCTACCTCTGGTGGGGGTTATATCCATGGCCTGGTAAGTGTCACTTCTCCTCACCCCGAACACCAGTCACTGCTCCTATAGGGACAATTTCTCAGAGAATGAGGAACACAAACGGTTCTTACATAGCCAGATGCTGAACTGAGTTGGAGCTTTCTCTCCATCTTCCCCATCTTAGATATGCAACCAGTCTGGAGATGGATGAAATACTTCAAGTAACCAAGCACCAGACAACATCCTTTTAAGATCAAGTTTACCATTTTTACATACAGACCTTGACAGCACTACGGAATCCATTTATCAGCCTTAACTGAAATTAATTCAAGGTTTATATTTTAATCATTGTTAGTGATAAGATAAAAATCATTATTGCATTTCACTGCTTCTAAAATAAGATTTCTTCGTATTTTATTTCTTTAGCCACACTGAAGGAAGGTCATTTTGTAACAGTCTCTCAAAACCCAAAACATGTTGCAAGAATGTTTAGTCTGTCTTGTCTGCCAAAATTCCTTGAGGCTTTTTTATTCAAACTTTTTTTTTTCTTTTTAAGTTTGTAAAACCTGGGGCAGAGCTGAAAGATTTTAAAATTAGACATTTCAGAGATTTTTTTCCAACTGATACTTTGAATCTCAAGTTTAAAAGATGGCATTTTTGAATTTTTTTTCCCTGACAAGATGTGTAACTGGCAGAAATTATGTATTTCAACAGAGAAAATAGGATACCACTTTCACAGAAGTGTTGAGTTTTTTTCCACAGCTACAAGCAAGGAAATCTGTAAACTGCTCTGGAAGCTGAACTTGTGATAAAATAATAGGCTTCATCTGAGATTACAAAGGGAGAAGAAAGCATTTTCTCACTGATACTATCAATAAAACAGGACACAAGATGTGGCTTTTGAAATGTCAAATATATACATTTTAAATTAGAACCAGCTTATAACCTTCTAGGACTCAAACCCATCTTCTTGAAAAAAATGTATTCAACTCTAATTTTAAGTGTGCAATGTCCACTCCTATTTGAAGTTTGACCGTAAGAGCAGCTCAGCTCATGCACAGCAGGGAAGGTCAGCATCAACAGAACATGGCCCATTTCCATCAAGGACGGGATCTGGCTTTTCTCTCCATCCCACATGCTTTCTGACCCCGAAAGGACCAGATAATACCTTGTCTATATGCTCCCAGAAAGGCCATTCATGCAGGACACCCTCTTCAACCAGAAATGGGGCAGTCTGGACATCTAGGCAAAGCAGGTCTTGTGAAATGTATGTCCCAGTTTCTACAGCCAAGACCTTTGGGCAAAGCCACAAACAGCATTTCAAAGGCTTCTGAGCATTTCTTTGATCCCTAAATCATTTGAGGGTCACCCCAAGTACTTTACATGCTAAATAGACTCAGTCACATTTCTTAAGAGGGAAGCTCAGTTTACAGAAAATTCCATATAAATTTAGAAGCATTGGGCAGTATACAGTAACATCATGAGCTTATGATCAACATGGTAGGATGTTTTGCCCCTGTAACCACTACAAACAACTTTTCTTTACAGTCTAGTCTTGTCCAGTGCTTTGGCATCAGTCTTCAGTAAATGGGACCTTCCTGTTTTCACTCTGCCTTTCAATATTGCGGTAACTTTGTATTTGGCTGACACAGGATATTACAACTCCTTCTTTCCTACAACCCTCATCTGGCCTGTAACATCTGCACCCAACATCACCTGGTCTGCAATCAATGTGCCCCTGGTAAGCTTCCCTATATCACATAATTTACCTTATTTCAGTAAAAAGGTGATTTTGAAGGCATTCAGTTCTGGATATCAAGTTTGCATGGGTCATAGTGGGTAATTGATATGGACAACCAGTAACAGTTCTCAGAAACAAATGAGGCCAGTCTTTAACAAGTGATACTGCTGTAATAGGCCCAGGGGCAGCTTTGGCTGATGTCCAGAAGGGCAGAGAGAGCCTGGCAGAAGAAAGATCTTGGACCTCTCACTCTACCTGAAGTTAGACTGCCCCAAATCAAGTCTCAAGTGACACTGATATAGAAACACGGTACAAAAGCACATCTGGATACATGCTCCAGCTGTCCAGATGGGGTTAAAGGGACATTGGCAATAACAGTCAGGGACAAAAAGAGGAAAGAAACACTACAATCACAGAGGGACTCATTTACACCCATTCCCTCAGTCCAGCTCTGGCACTGAAAGAGGCCTTGTTACAGAAGTAAAATACACAGAGTCAAAGCCAATTCATATTCCCAAAGCAGCCTAGGGGGAACTTTAGTGAAGAAGAAAAATGGTAACTTTTCTAGTCAGTAATTCTATGGTGCCGCTGGCTAATTTGAGAACCACTGTGGGCTCCTTATGTTCTAGCCCTTAGCCAAAAAGGTTTGCAGTACCTCCTGTTTATATACTTCCTATATAGTAGGGATTTTTTTTCTCCTGCCCTTTATCTCTTGGCCGAACAAACACGAGAATCACAAGTAAGGCCGCTTTCCAGTTTCATATTCGAGAGGACCATCTGTTAGCCAATAATTTATTTAGGTCTGTTAGGAGCTTGAGAGATGAATCTGACTCTTGAAGTTAGGCAAGATTACTGCTATCTATTTGCTCAACTGTAATAAAAAATGTGATTGAGTAAGTACAGTCTGAGAAACTTACTTTAAAAAAAAAAGACATACGTTCTTATTTGTGGTCTGAAATGCTTTGCACAAGATGGAAGCTTTGTGTCTGAGTTTTAAAACAAAGCTGTACACATTTTGTATGGCTAAGAGCATTTGGCAAGTTTTGTATAGATCTGATATAGACCTTGAAAAGAAAGATCACGAGAAAGTATTTGGGGACAGGCATGGTGACGAGGAACAGAAAGCAAATGAGGGCATCACAATGGGAAATATATTAATCTTAAAGGTGATATCGATAGTTACGCCCAGTTGAGAAAAGCTGGGAACACATTACAGTGGCCTGTTATGCGATATATACAGTGATATATATGTGATATATAGTGATAGCACTATATACTGTGCTATCCTTTTTACTGGCTGAGATGAAGCCTGTGAGAAATCCTGCAGAAGCTCTTGCACGGTCAGATTTGGAATAGACCCTAAGCTCCTGTCCCACTGGGGAATTTCCACGGCAGTGATGGAGTGACCACATCTAGGGGACTAACTACAACACACTTAATGCACAGCCAAAGAGTTCTGCCTGAAAGAGTCCTTGAGACTGGGCCAAACTCCATCTCCAGGGACCTCATCACAGCTCCAAAATAACGAACCCCATTTGACTTCATCCTTTCCCTGCATGCAGCAATGATGTGCGCATGAGCCCAGTTAAATTTATCCACATAGGTGTCCCAAGGAAAACACAGTGCACTCCTAGCAAATGACAACAACTACATTTCATATATCGAACCTCACAGCCCTGCTTTTTGCCTTGCAGCGCTGACTCTGGCAACACTGTTCGACAGCATCTACCTCAGCTTGCACAACTACAACTGTGCGCTTGCCTGCATTGCAATTGGAGGCATGTTCTATGCCCTGACCTGGCAGGCTCATCTGCTGGCCCTTGCCTGTGGTACATGTCTTGTATGAAAAGGGAAGCCAAAAAGCCAAAAACACCTGTGCAGCCAAGTACTGCACAGGAGTTATTTCAACGTTGCCATTGGAGTTGAGCTTTGGATGGCCAAGCAGTAAATGCAAGAAGGGGTTTTATGCACTCTTAAGATAAAAAAAAAAAAATAGAAAGGGCAGAAATACAGTTTCTGTGAGAAGAATCCCAGAATCCCAGAATGGTTGTGGTTGGAAGGGACCTCTAGAGATCATCTAGTCCAACACCTCCGTTCTAGCAGGGACACCTAGAGCACGGGGCACAGGGTGGCATCCAGGCGAGTTTGGAAGATCTCCAGAGAAGGAGACTCCACAGCCTCTGGGCAGCCTATTCCAGGGCTCTGTCACCCTCACAGGAAAGAAATTCTTAGAAGAAGGCTAGAAGAAGGAATGTATTTACAAGATTTTTTTTTTTTTTTTTTTTTTTTTTTTAATAGATCCTTAGAGGAAGTGTGCCAGAACATCAGAGCTGTTGCATGTGGTCAGTTTAAGATCCATCTAACCAAAACCTCATCAGCAGCCAAAGACAGACACTATGGGAAGAGTTTAAGCACAGTGTAAGCATACAAAATACCCGCATAAGGAGTCACTGAGCCTCTAATTATTTGCAATTTTGCAGTTCAGCAGCTTCCCTGAACTGAGTGCAGTTCCCGAGTATGTAGTATCACTCAGTAGCTTTCCTTTCCATGACTGTCCCTGGGCCTCTGACCTCAGCTCCTGCTTTTCCACCTATGAAATCCTGTGGCTGGGAGTCCTACAACTAACTTCTTGTGATCTGTAGCCACAGAAGAGACTGGTGGAGAGTGACCATGATACCCCACCACGCACAAGTCAAGTTGTATCAATGGATAAAATGGATGCCACTGTCACCTATTCTTGACAAAACAGAGTGCTTTTCATTCACCACCCATCTAAACAAAGCAAACTTAGGCCAAATTTAGTTGACAGGCAGGTGTAGCACCTTAAAATTCAACAATTAGTGAATATGCCTATGCTAATCTCACAACACATAGCTGGGAAGATACTTTAAAGGGCATTTGGAAAGAATTGCTATTTCTGATCATTTCTTTGGAGGGATGAGCAAGAATTTCTCCATCTTCAGTTGTCTTCTGTCTTCTTTTCTCAGCATTATTTTGTGCCTACTCTGGAGCAGCTCTTACTAATATGCTATCTGTGGTAAGCTTGTTTTTGTTTTGTTTTGTTTTTTAAATAAATGTATTCTGGCTTTGTTCTGATATCCGAACACGGAGAATTTTGTGGCATTTACTTGACAGCTTTGACAGTACTGAAGTGTGAATTTTGCAGCCAGTGGCAGGTTTTGTAGAGTCTCTGTCAGTTCAATTGTACACTTAGAGGCTCTGCAACTGATAATAAGATTTCAAAGACCTTCAAAGCATCTTATCCACAGTAGGAGTATGCGCATATATGTGAATTCCAGAAACAACTCAGTTTGTTATATGATATTCAGTTGCATGCCATGTTTTTGAGCAAATTCCAGTGGTCTAAAGTTTTCTGTGTTTCTTCTGAGGCCTTTTTCTCCCCTGTTATTATTCAAGTTTGGTCTGAATATAAGAACTAGTTTAATGACGAGGAAAACACATTTTTTTTCTGTCTTTTGAGCTGTCCAAGCACACTGGTCTCAGAGAAAGCTGAAGCTAGTACTGTCAAGCTTTGTTTCTTTTTAAGGTCTCTCTGAGAGACCTAAGCAAAACTATATTTTAAGGAAATTGATTTGGCAGGTTAAAAGAAAAAAAAAACCATATTTAAAACAAGCAGCTTCACGTTAAATGTATTCACCTGTTATCCTCTCAGCACAGTGTAGGTCCAAGCAGAGGCTGGTTCTGTTAAGCACACCTGCTTTTAGGATGCACCAGAAACAGGATACTCATGGGGAGGGGGTTGTTTTCCTGTAGATGAAAGACTTGGAAAATTAGAGCTCCAAAAGTTATTTTTTTGTAATCAACTCAATTTGCCCACCTGGACCTGATTAAATCTGCTACTTCCCCCCCACTCCGAGAACTTGGTATTGGCAGATCCCTAGTCAGCCCTAGAGGTGGAGGTCACAGAGCAAGACAGAGGGTTGGACTCAATGCCTGTGTTGAGGGTGTTGAGGACAGCGAGACAGCGAATGTGTGTGAATGGTACTTGCAGTAAATGGTATTTTGCTGGGCAGTGTAGGTGGGATTTGGTTAGTGGATTGGAGCATTTAAATATCTGCCTGTGAGCTGCATGTCTTGCCTTTGAGCAAAATCAGCTGCAAAAGTTTAGGAAGAGGCAGAAATGAGCAAAGGAAACGTGCAAAGAGAGATGCCAAAATGCCTTTGTCTGCCCTTTCCTCTCCAGGTGGGACTGCCACTCTGTACGTGGCCCTTTTGCTTCTCCGCACTTCTCTTTTGCTGCTCGCCTCAGACAACCCAGCCATGTACAAGCTCCCACTCTGCAAAGTCACCTACCCAGAGGCCAATCGCATCTACTATCTGAGGTTGATGAGAAGAGCATCGTAGATCAGAAGAGAGGAGCAGAAAGGAAAGGAGCCGAAACCCTCTGGCGATTTGAAAACACAAACCAGAGGCACCCCACTGTGCAGTCCCAAAACCAGCCATGATTAGATTCCCAGGGGCTGCAAGTCAGCAGTTTCAGTGTTTTTTCATATCCTAGCAAAACAGCAATACTTTGTAGTTACAAATACACCTCCAGCAGTGTTCTGCAGGCTGGGGATGCTGCGTAGCACGCTTCGGAGGAAACGCGATTTGCCCTTGAGCTAAGCGCTCAGGTAGCGCAGTAATGGCTGTCTTATCAATCCACACGCTGTTAACTTGAAAGCCAGCTCTTATCAGCAATAATTATAAGCATAGGCAGAAGAACATAAACATTGACATGATGCTGTATTTAATTTTGGATGGATAATTTAACAAAACAAATATGCTGGTGGGAGAACTTTTTATGTAATAATAATAAATAATAAATAATGTAAGAACTGCATCGAGTGCTGCACTTTGAATTAAGAGCATGTACATCTGAAAATGGAATAAACAGACCGATCTCTTCCTTCCTTGTTTCCCCATTGATGTCTAACCTACTTTATCCCACTTTAATGGGTATAGTAAATACAGGTAATATTCTTTCAGAATTTATACTATATTTAGTGGTGGCTCCTGTCTCGCCATTAAGTTCCAAGACTACAAAGATACGAATATGTGTGCTTTAATCAACTGGAAAAGTGACTAGGTAATAAGGATTGCAAACATCTTTTTCCTTGCATCATTTTCACTCTCTTACAAGTAGATCTGTTTCCCACTGAATGCACAGGAGCAAGTCTGAATCCCTGCACACATCCAGTGGGAAACAGGAAGATTTCACATGAACAGTCCTTCACATGAAGACTGAGACAAATGTTTGCAGATGGTAACAATTATTGTAGATCTTTTTCTACCATTCCTGCAGGAGTATTTTTGTATATATTAAGCCATAAGTAATGAACTAGCCAAAGGTTCCTCTTGTCCAAGCGTTGGATTGGGAGCCTCTCACCTGGTGTCTGGTCCAGGCCACCATAAGCTCCCAAAGCACCAAAAGAGATGGTCATGGGAAACCTTGAGGACCTTCTTACTGCTCTGTTCCCAATGGGTGGCAGTTTATAACAGGCCCAGGATGGGAGGAGAATGCTGCCACTTTATGTTTCCTTCGAATCCTTACAATGGGGAAAGGCCAATGGCCTTAACAGGGACTTTTCTTGAAGACCCTTATTAAAACCACCATGAAACAAGCCTAGTAGAAAGACTTCCTAGTTCTGAAGTCTCTTAATTAGGATGCCTGGTTTCCTTCAACAGCAAAGAGCCAAACTTTGCTGGACTCCAATGGGCCCTTTTGCCAAAGGTGACTGGTGGAAAAGGGCTTTCCCTGCCAAGCAAACACGGACCCAAAGGACTTGAAGATTTAAGGTAAAAATCCAAAGAGACTATGCAATCACACAATGCTCAGACTAGATACCATCCTTTCCCTCCTCTTGATGTGATTAAAAACAACCACATGAGGAAGCTTGCTCCCCCGGGCAGCTCAGTCCCACCTCTTCAGGTTCCTCACTGGGCCACACAGCAAGGCAGGAGTTTGCAAGCCCCTGTCTGAACCTGGAGAGAGGACTCCCAGGAGCACCTTATCCAGGCATCAGTGCTGTACCCCACAGCAAAAACTGCCTGCAAAGACCCCCATGCAAATCCCAGCAACCTCCTGGAGACATTGAGCTCTGATGAGTGGTAGGAGGCTGAAGGCAGAGATGCACTTCTTTAAAACAGGAGCAACTGCTATTTAGGCAAACCAGATTCTTTGCAAAAAGAATCTATTATCAAGGCATTGGACAAAGGTGATTGAGCCCTTAAGCTATCACAGAGGGCAGCTGGAAATGGAGCGAGAGTCTTGGCTGGTGTTAAAGAGCATCTGTAGGCTGCATATGCAGCTGCAAGGTGATTCCAGAATAAAAGCAACCGAGGTCAAAGACAACATCAGAAAACATGGTAGCAGGCGGGCAAGAAAGCACAGGGCCATAGGAAAACAGTGAGGAACTCAACACTGGTTACAAAGCAGTCTCCTAGGGTCACTGCAGACTGCAAGAGCAGGGATAAAGACACCCTAGTGTGACTGTTTTTCAGAGAAAAAAGAAAACTGGAAGAACACATGAGGTTACACACAGCTGTCTGGACACCTTCCCTCTATACATGCCAGTGAGATACTGGGCTCACCCAAGACAACCAGACCTGTTCATCTGCCCTGCACAGTTTAGTTTAGCTCCTATATGCATCCAGGATCAGAGAAACATTTGATTAGTAACAATGTAAAACTAAAATACACTAATAAAATCAGCTAAAATATTAGAATGAATATTATTGAAGAAAAAATCAACTGGAATTAATTACAACATGCAGTATTATTTTACTTTAAAGAAAATGTCCAAGCACAATTCAGATATTAGAAATAATGCCATGTAAAAGACACTACAAAAATAATTTCTCGGTCACAAACAAATCCATCCTGAAATCAATTAGCAAAGCAATTGCTAGAGTTGCAGCCATCCATAAACAGCAGAGTATAAACAGAGCTGTTAAGTCTCTAGCTAATCAAAAGTTTTGCATAACTGTAGTCAGCACTTCTAATTCTTGTAAACAGAGCAAATATGAAGGATCTCCTAAAAGTGAGCAGTAGATTAGAGAAGCACTATCACAGGTCAAGTGCTCAAGCCCCAGCACTCCAGCCCCTCCTCAACATCCTGCAAGGCCCATATTCCATTAAAGAGCTACCTTTTGCTTTCTACTCATTTTCCTTTCTTTTAGCAAGATCTAAGTTAAAGGTGAGCTCTTAAAATAGGGTGGCACTCTGTGAAGCAGTTTATAGCTTGCAAGGGCTCACGTTGGAAATGTTTGCTTCCTTTTGCTTTCATCGGGAAGCTCAGCTGAAGCCAGGTCTCAGAGGTAACATTAAGACTGAAATTGTTAACTAGCCTTAGGAAGAGTTTGACAAGTTAGAGGTGCCAGAGGTTTGCCAAGAGCTGTTAGGGGAAAAAATAGCCCAAGGCTATTAGAGAAAGTATGTTTAAAGATACATTTGCATCCTTCTGGATGTAGGAAGCGCCTCTGAAGTTTGGGCAGCATCTTCCCCCAGCTCAGCTGCAGCCCATGCTCAGCACCATCTCAGGTCCCTGCAGGGAAGGAAAGTACCAACCAGCAGGGATTTTGACAGAAATAAACAGCAGAAAGAGTAAAACAAATCACCCAAAATCTGCCAAAGGCCCAGGGTGTTTTTCAGCTGTCTAGCCCGCAGAAAGAAACTCTAGTAATAGAAGCTGTAACCCTTGGACAGGCCTAAAACTCACTCAGAGTTTGATCTGGAACCACAGTGTCATTTAGACACCCAAGTATAGGAACCTGGGAATGCTCAAATCCACCCTGCCAATGTATATAAAAAAAGGCATTTTATAAATCACTTCTTTGTGAATCTTGACACCAATAACATGGATATGGCTGAACCTCAGTTCAAGGCCAGAATTATTTTGGTCCAAGCCTAGTCTACCTGGCAGTGTTCAAGAAACATGCAGATGGGACACTTAGGGACGTGGTTTAGCAGGCATGGTGGTGATGGGCTTACGGTAGGACTTGATGATCTTGAAGGTCTTTTCCAACCATAACGATCCCATGATTCTGTGATTCTACCATGAAGACCTATCTACTCAGCACAGAGCAGCAGGACCTCAGCATGAGCTGAGGAGAAATGGAGTCCTCACTGCTGGGCTGCAAGGACTTTAAAGGTCCAAAACAGCATGTCGAAACACAAAACATGCTCAGTGGGTGCTGGCCTGAGTAACTGAGGTTTGATTCTAGACCCACACTGGAGCTATGTTTTTGCACCCAGGCAGAGAAGTCTTGAGTTCTACACAGCTCCTCTCATAGCTGAGGGAAATAAGTACTTTTAAGGCAGTTTCCCAGACTTGCTTTAGGGTGCTACAAATCAAGGGAGCCAAATGTAGATACCTGCATTTAGTCAGCCAAATGCCACCCAAGCACCCAGCCAACTGCATTCAGAAGTGACAGAGGGGCACTAAGGAAAGAACGTCAGCACATAAACGTGGTTTCTATCTCAGGCTGCTCAAAAAAAAAATCCATTACAAGCTGGCAAGAACAGAGAATAATACAGCAACTTGCTGTGAACAGGCGTGCAGAGACAGTAAATTAGTTTTCCGAGAGGAGAATCCCAGATAATTGCTTAACAGTGAAAGGTAACAGCAGATGCACTCAGAGGAATTATCTGAAGAGAAGCAGAAAGATTTAATCGACCCTTGTTCAGCTAGGAAAATACAGAGGCTACAAAGGTAGGACTTAGGAGCTTCCATCTATCGCTGTAGCAGGTTAAACCTGGCACCCAGCCATCCTCTCCTCTGCTAGCAGGTTCAAGGCTGCCAGAAACAGCAGCATGTTTGGAGGCCACGATAGGAGATGGTGACACGTCTCAGCTCAGGAAGGTCACCCAGTGTTGCTTTTACACAGTGACGGTAAGGAGCTCCTAAAATTTCCACTTGCTGGAAAGATGCTCTGTGCTTTCTCAAGGCCAGCTATCTCCATCGTGCTATGATATTCCCTAACACCTGAGGGCTTGCTCAGCCTTTTAGAGATTACATTTGCCTGAGTAAAAGAAATATCATCATTTTAAGGGTGAGATCTGTGTGCTAAACACTGTCCTCTCCTCCCCTAAAATACAGGAGGCTGTATTTTTATTTGGAAGATGGAAAAAAGAGCCCAAACAGAAAACAAACACTTAGTTGCCTTTGACTTTGCAGTTCTTGGGGTCTTCTGCAAACTCCTGCAGCTGTTGCCACAGCTGGATTTCACACATCCCAGAGGCCGGCTGAGAAAAGCAAAGGCTTCTTCCACCACAATATCCCCTGGGAGTGAGCAGCGAGTTGGCATCTGGGCACCTCTGACTGCAGCTCTGCAGCGCCAGAGGCGCCTGAGCCCATCACTACCAGTGCATGGGTACGTTTAGCCACTTGTCCTCACATCCTTCTCCGGGGCAGCCCTCGGCCTAAAAAGCTGAAGCAGGTTAAAATCTGTGCTGCTGAAAGCACAGCAGAGCTGGGCCTGGTGCAGCTTCACCGAGTGAAGCACCAAATGCAAATGGGAGCCCTTATGGATACAACTATCTCAACTGCCCAAAACACAGAGGCCAAGGTGTGTGGGCTGCTCTGCACATCATAGCAGCTGCACATCAAATAGGCAGGGAGAGAGACATAGGGACGCACTTGGCCTGTGCAACTAGAATAATCTGGAGTCTTTTTTTTCCTCAGTTCCGGGCTCCCTACTCCGCACCTGACGTGCTTCTCTGAACTTCCCTCCTTCCTGCTTAATGCAGCTTAGAGCTGTAACCCATGCCACATGCATCACTTCATGCTTCCAATAAGACCTACTTGGGAAGACAATAGTAACCACTGGGATTTATATGCTGAAACAGTTTATTTGGGGGATGATTGCAGTGTTCTGTTTGCTTAAGCCTAACACATTTGTTTCCTACAATATAAAGGTTTGTAAGAACAAGCTAGGGTTTCCTTCCTTGGAAGTTGTCACATTCTGGGCAAGACTCTAGGGCCAACCATCAGAGCAGAGGAAGGGGGTAGAAAATAAAATTCCACTAAACTGAAATCAGATGGGGAGAAGGGATAGTGCTGGCTGGAAAGAGGGAAAACAAATCCAGACAAGGAGACCCAGCCAGATGACTGCACTCTGCTTTTCTTTGACTTGTATTTTGTGACTGCCTGTTTTTTCTCAGGCCTCTGGTGCTGGACACCACAGCTAAACCTGTACCAGTAAATGGGGCAGCGCACAACATCTCTGAGGCTTGTACATCTCAAGCACAGTCCTTGGAATGTGTTGGCCTGGGCCAAGCCACATTGAGCAGTCTGGAGGTGACTGCCCCAGCTTCAAGGGGATGAGAGCGTAAAGCTAAACCTGGACACAGGCTCTTCCACTTGGCCTCATGGCTAGAGCCTGGTCCTGATGACAAAGTAACCCCGAGATGGCTGTTGCCCAGACGCACTGAGGCGCAGGGCCCTGGAGAGCTGCCACCCACACGTCCTGCCGGGACAGGGAGCAGGTCCAGGCCCTGGGTGCTGCCTCTGATGCTCTTTGAGGACACATCCCATCTGTCACGTTGACTTCGGCAGGCATCCAGCTGGTAGCCCTTGGGAGATCCAGTCTGTCCAAAGGCATATTACTCTTAAGAAGGTAACATATTCACGTGCTTCACTTTTGCTAGCAGCAATTTTAAATAAAAACCTTGGAAAATCTGCAACAGAGAGATGAGCTCTTTGCTAACCTGGTGCTCTAGCATTCAGAGCATCAATCTGCAGGGAAAGTGTTTGAATCCTTGCGTAATGCTGACACCTAATTCCCGTGATGGCTTGAAGTTATCCACACCCAGCTTGGTGCCATAAAACAGGTACACCTCTGCCTTCTCACATGCCTGCCCCAGTCCCACTGCAAGAGACAGAGACTATGGTTCTTACCCCAAAACTGGATTCCCCCATGTAGCTACAAGCTTTTGCAGTTACCCAGACTGAGAAGGTGCAGCCTGGAGCCCTCGGGCTGGAGCGAGGGAACCTTGGGTCTCCAGAGCCGGTGGCAGAGATGAGATACGAGAATTATCTATTGGGGGAGTTTGGGGAGTCAGCAGCTGTATCCAGAGCCTTACAAGGAGACCTGACCAAGCCAGAACTGGTGTTTATGACCTCTCTAAAATTGCAAGCTGAATATTTGCTCCAATTTTTTCTGCGTTGCTGTGCTGGAGATACCCCACGAGAGGGAGACGGACACCGGAGATGGCTGCCCAGCTCTCTGCAGCCTTCCCAAAAGCTGCACCACAGAGCAAACATAGTCACTGCGCAGAGGAATGTCAAACAGCAGCTTTCTCTAGAGAATTTTTACAGGCAGAGAAGGCAGAGAAGCACCCACCGCCTTCAGTTTGGCTTTTGTTCCACTCTATATAAACCCAAAACTATCTCAATAAACAAGTGGGTGGTTGTGACAGATCCCTCTGTGCTGAAACAGATTTTTCCATTCTGCTTTTGCTCATAAAAATGAGATGATGAAAAGCAACATGATGCTGACAGATGCAGCCATGCTGATGTTGCTCATCTAGGCACCCTGTACCCAGGGCTGTGGGTCTCTCCCTGTTGTGAGGTCTCTGAGCCCATTTGGACTCGAGGCATTTGGTCAAAAGGTGGTGAAACTCTCTTGTTTGCTCCAGAGGAAGCCTTCCAAGAGACCGAACCCTGATGGCTTGCCAGAAGGTCCCTGACTTGCTTCCAAGCCCACATCTTCCCATGCACAAGATCTGCTTGAGAGCAAGAATGCCCCAGTGCTAAACAACACCCACTGCTGTCTCCACCATGAGCTACAGACAAACCTTCCTGGTATCAAGGCATGATGAGGAACCCATAAACACTGGCTACATTTCACACATCCATGGCCCAGTCCAGCACAGGCAGGCCAGGACCTGAGTTTTAGCAAGCTGCAGAGCTCTGTACATGGATTTATGCCACCTTAAAGCACCTGCTGGGGTCCACGAGCTGGTGCAGCTCCCTGTGCAGACCTGAACCCTGCAGCATAACCTGAGACGAAGAACACAGCCAAATCCAGCAGTGAAATGGCAATCTGCTGCTGAGTGGTTTCCAAAGCACCTTTTGAAGGCAACCAAGCCTGGAGAGAAGTGTGGAGAAAGAGCATGTGAGACCAGATTAGGGCTACAGGTCCTTCCTGGAAGAGCTGATGAGTTCAAGTGCTCTACCCAACTAATGCAGCCAGACATCCTCTGCCTGGTGGACAGTCCCACATATCCCAGGCATTTCTCTAGGATAGTCCAGATGCTATGTTGTGTAGCTCAACAGTCCCTAACTATCTGCTATTCAGGCTGCTTGGACACTTGTACGTTACCCTCTGCATGCCCAGAGCTGCTAAAATATTGTCCAATCTGAGCCTCTCCAGGTCTTCCTTGAGTCCGGCTGGAACCCACCCATGAAACTCTCTTGTGAACCCATCAACCACTGAGCTCAATTCTCAGAGGCACCTTCCCATCGAGCATAGGAAGAGAGAGAAATGCATCAACCAGCTTCATTGGCTGAGAGGTGGATTTAAGGCACAGATTCAGCCCTCTTAAATCACACAAGACTTGCAGACACCATCCCCAGCTGCCTTCTCCTCAGCAACAGATGTTCTTCATGGGTACCTAAAATCAATAGAGAAGTCACTGGTCACTCATACTTGTTATCTGTAGGCTCAAATCTCATCACACGATTTCTGGGACTGGGAGCCCAAACTAGTGGTACTCCAGGTATCAGGTTATCAGGTAGTCAGAACATGATTATGGGGCAGGTCACTGCTAAAATAGGAGCAAAACTGCAGGCAGAAATGCAATACTTGGGCTGAAAAGGAAGACATGATAGAAAGCCTGTCTTTGGCCAGGGATGAGCCTTGGAGTGATGGAGCACCTCACTTCAGCACACAACCTGGGATGTGGCCCAGACTTTTTGGGAGGATAATAATCTTTTTTGAACCTCAGGGAACCCCTAAGGCAGTCGCTGCAGTAGTTAACTGTGCCAGGATTTGGCTGCATCCACGATCAAGTGAATCCATCTTGTGGCAATGGATCTCATCACTCCTCTGCCTCTAGCTCACAGACCTCATCATCAGCAACCTCATTCCCACACTGGTATCAGCAGACCGTGATCCCGTTACTTATTAACGAGCTCTTTGATAAGCTAAACAAATAGTCATTACAAGACGCCTGACCCAGATGTCAAATCCTGTGGCTTTTTTTTGTGAATTCCCTCCAATGTGTCAACAACCTCCCTAAGGTGCCAGGATTGAACAGGGCAGTGCTCAACCCGGTTTCTTGAGAACAACCTTGGCTGCTGGGCACTTGGAGCCACCACAGGCACAGCGGGAAGTAGCACGGTCTAACAGCCGTCCCTGCCTGCCTGATGCTCCCTGAGCACCAGCCCTTTCTCAAACTGCAGAAAAAGACCCTGTTTTAATGATACTGAGGCTGGGAAGCCCCCTGAACTTCTACAAAAATGTGGGAGACATGAAGTCTAAACCTTGTCCAAGGAACTTCCCAGAGGTCCAAATTCTCCGTGAGCATCTCCCATCTAAACGGCCTGCTGCATTTGCCTTCTTTTGAGATGCAAGGATTCATTTTGCCAGGAGGAAAGCAAAGGCAATACGAGGAGAAACGAACTGTAAAAAAGAATTGCGCTGAATAGCCACTTCCCCTGCAACGTCTCCTTATCTCATGCAACACGTACTACCAGGCGCAGAGACGGTGGATGGCAGCATCTGGCTCACTTGCAGAGACAAGCGCTGAGCAGATTAGAGAGGGACTTGCTCACGCAGCCATACTAAGCTGACAACCCTGTGCTGAGAAGAAAAAGAATAAAAAATGAATGCAGTTGCGGGAGGCCAGACACAACTCCTGAAGGCTTCAATATGAGTCTAACAGAAATCGCTTTATTCGCGTTACAGCACTCTATTTATCATCTACTACATTTCTGTTAAGTCATCTAGCCACGCGTACGCTTACATTGCGATTGGTTGCATACTACTGTCCACACGTCTTCTACCGTACTAGGTTGGCTGTAGATATTGGGGCACACGTTTACATGATTGGCCCGCACACAGTCCTCTATCCTGCACTGATAAGCTTGTTTACAGGTTCTCCCTCTCCTACTTCTGTGTTCTTCCAGCTGGTGACTTTCCCCCGATCTTTTCGCCTTGTTCTTAGTCCGGCTCATCATATCCGTCTTCTATCAGGAAGCCTCTGTTACTTAGATATGCTCCCACATGCAGTCTCCTGCTAAAAACATCTCCATCAAAAACGAGGCACCCTAGGAACGAGCGCAACGAGAACAACATCATTTCAGTTAACACAGACGCTGAGCTTGTGTTTCCATGGAGCAGGAAGCAAAGCCATAACGCTAGATGGGTTCTGGTTCAACAGCAAATTATTCACTTTTTCACTTTGGTGAAATTTCAGGGTTGCTTCTCTTACGTGATCGCTCTTCTATAGTGGTTTAAATCAGCATAACAGATTCCTTAAATTCACGAGCCTTTTCTCTGCCCTTTCCCAAATAATTCGCTCTCTCACAGCTTCGCTCTCCAGGCTCATCTCTGTCTTTCACAGCTATTTCACAGCCTTATAAACCTCTCAAATATGCCATAGCTCTAATATTCCAGATTCCTCCCACAAGCCAGGGAGGCTTTTTTTTTTTTTTAATAAAGAACAAAAAAAGAAGTATTTCTCAAGTTACCGGTAAAAAAAACAATTATACAATGAAATGTCACCAGGTACTCTCTGGCAGGTCACTGCTCCAGTGTGTTAACACAATAGTACTTCCAAAAGCTACCCAGAAACAGAGCCAAGACAACATACTGCTATGTGCACTCCAAGATCAGGGGTGGGCTCAGGGAAAAATTTGGGCTCCAAATAATTCCCGTGGCTCTGAAGTCTCCACGGTGGGGACACCTCAGCCAATGTTTTTGCTGCTATAGAACCAACAGCAATGTCCATGCAGGGAGAGAAGGATGCTGAGTTGTCTTGGATAACTCTGTCTTGGAGATTAACACTGGCGAGGTCTCGCTCAGGTCCACTGCAAGTCTCTTTTGAAGTGTTAGAGACAGAGTCCTTTTAAGCGGAAGAAGATGGAGAAAAGTCTGGGTTAAAAGGGACTTAGTCAAAGAAAAAAAACCTAAAAACAACAACAAAAAAAAAAACAGCAGGGAAGAAGACATTTGGAGAGGCTGTTGGCAAGAGTCCGAGGACAAAACAAGAGGAAAGGTGGAGAATTCAAGCTGTAACCTTCCTGACACATGTTTGGAGCTTGCAAAGTGGGAGGAGAAACAAACTAATTGGTAATATCAGGACAGGAGCCATGCTAGCCTATATAAACTGGTGGGGCATTTTCTTTTACTATTGTAAAGCTCCTGCACTACCTGGTGAGCTCTCTCTCAAGCAGCTCTCCTCTCTAAGCAGGTAAGCATACTTTGTTCTCTTCCTTTAATGAGCAGCAATAAACGTGTAACATGTCCCTGACTGACTTATCTCTGAGTCTTTCTCCTCCACCAAAACACAAAACAAACAGTATTTAGACCATCCGCCTAAATGAAAGCAGCTAGGAAAGGCTCAGGAGTAACACTGAGGCTAGGGAGAGTCGCAGGAATCTTAGTTATCATGAATTTTCTAGCAGGGTGAGGACTTACTAGTGTTTCTTAGCTCAGTTGGCTGAAACTTTGAGAAAAAAAAAAAAGCACTGGAAATCACCATCTCCTTTCACTGCCTTCCTATTTTGCACAATGAAGAATGCCCAGAGAGTGCTAATGCAGTTGATGTGATCAAATTGCTGCATTTCCATCACAGAGACGAATCTCTGAAAATTGAAAAGGGAATGGATGTAATAAATGTCTGAATCTAAGATGAGCTGCCTTTCTGAACTAATGCTTTGAAATGCATCTTCAGTGGGAAACTCTGACCTTCTCTTTAGCAAGGGTCAAGTGCATGATAATCTCTCTGCTTTAGGGAGTATGCACACATTCCTACACTGGCCACAACATTTTATACCTATATCCAGCTTTCCTCAACCTCCAGCAATTGAATGGGCTGTGCTGAGCTGGAGAGAATCTGGCCCTTTCTTCCTATTGTACTTCAATGCAGGAATTCCTCTAAAAACACGCTGCTGCGCCCAGCGCGGGCTGACTGCATGGGAACAATTCCGGGAATGCCAGGTACAGTGCCTGCAACTGCGTAGAAGCAGTCACTGGGGCAAGCAAAGACCACGTGTTAAATTAAATCCTCTCAACTGACCAAGAATTACTTGAATTTTGTCAGTGAGGGAGGAAAAATCCAGCCAAGGGCAGGGAGCACTAGATAACTTGGCTGGATTTTTGAGGACAAAAGATGGACACCTAGTTATGCAGGCACTGAGTTGGAAATAAGAATTAGCCATGAGATTTAAAATAATAAGCCAAATAAAAGCCTCTGTTCTGATACCAGCCACAAGCACACAGTGAATATCTCTGGGGCTTGTTTCAGATTCAACAAGCAGATAAAAGTCTATTTGCAGGTGATACAAGGCATCACTGGGGCGCTGCCAGCACAGCGTGACAGGGAAGAAATGTGCACTAGTGGAAGAGGGATTGATTTTGAGAGGTATGAAGTTGCATAACATCAGTGCTCTGCTAGGAGACACATTAACTCTGAAAAGAGGAGAGAAAAAAAAAACAGTAGATTGGCTTCTTGGCCCTGTTATGACTTCTTATTCATAATGAGAAGCATTTATTTTTCCTGTTCTGTGTTCAGGGGGTCCATTTCGCAGACAATACAAAAGTATTTAGATACTCTTAGCTGAAAAACTCTCCTTCTTGCTTATGTGAGCATCCTTACTGAGGAAGGCAGTGAGATACTTACCCCAAAACATAAAGTTTTCTAGGTAAGAGGGGCTGCAAGCTTCTGGCATCAGTGGGGAACAGCAAGAGTACCCCCAAAAGCAGCATATATGAGCACAGACCTTACAGTTTTTAGTTAAGAAACTTGAGATCAAAAAACACATTCACAGACTGATGGAAATAAGGAACAGATAAAAATATATATCTGCTTTCCCAAAATCAAACACTTTGTTGCAGCAGAATAGTCCTTTCATGATTATTTCCATTTTCCTCTTCCTTGCACCAAGAAGAAAAGCCTACTTTTGGACATTGCAATCCAATGTTAACTTAGTTTTAATGACAGGTCTTTACAAGATCTGTTGTAGACTGCCTTCATGCATTATCCACCAAAATACACACTTTCAGCTTTACTTTAAATTCAGTCACCACTATCTTAAGCTTCTCTGAACATCTCCATTGTTCTGGAGTCAACAGCTGGGATGAGCCACTGGCCATTCCATGAAACAAGATAATGTGTTAATGGACCTTTGGTCTGAGCATCTGAGCCAGTTACTGCTTCTTATAATGTAGGAACTCATTAAAAATGCTGCAAAAAATCCTTTTTCACCTCTCCTAATATTGGTTTCCAAATGATTCGCTGCTCCTTTCTTCTTTCTCTTGGCCATTAAATAGAGCTAGCTTAGTCTTCCATGGTCTGGGTTTCTAGACAAATAAAAGTTTCTGGGGAAAAGGTAGATACGCATTTTAATGCTTTGCAATGCAAGTGCTTGCGATCATCTTGGGCATCAATCCCATGAAGGGAAAACACAAATCATTCATAAATCTTGGGCAAAATGAGCTGCTCCTGCTCCCCCCAGCCGCGGCTGCTGTGATGACAGCCGAACCATCACGTGCAGGAGTTGTCACTCAGAGCCTGGGGTGCGATTCAGGGCAACAGTGAAGCCAACATGCTAGATTAGGCTCTTTACAAGGCCATGAAGACCCTCCCTGAAACCAAGCACACTCTTAGCCTGTTACATACCAGGCTGCTCTGCAGATGATGTGTTCACACCCATTTCCTTCCCCTTTAGCACATATAAACTAATAGGAATGGCAACCCAAAGCTCTCTGAGAAATATATGCGATCCCTCCAACAGCCCACTCTTGAAAGACACATCACTTGATGGACGGAGACAAAAATGCATGTGAGTTTAAGCTGCACTGCTGGCCCAAACGTGGCCATGGTCTCCCACCACGCACTCCACTCTTGAGCACTCTGGAAGAACAGGTGCGCAGAGCTCTGACACAGCCATCATGGGGAGTGAAGTTCAGGCTGAGACCGTAGCAGTGAGTCACTTGGTCACCTGGTCTTCCTGCTGTGCCAAGTGTGTTGAGTTGATGCCCATGTAAATCCAGAGCAAAGGAGTTCTCCAGGCCCAGACTGGCACTGTGTGGTACTGATCCCGGCCCTGCGCAGCTTCATCTCAGCAGCACAGCCCCAGACACTGCCAAAGAGCATTTCAGTAGCAGACGAAAGGCTTCACATCTCAGAAGGGTTTATGTGCAATGACTATTATCTCAGGGGGAAAAAAAATGCATGAACAAGAAATAAAAGAATTTCCACTCAGATGTTCACCACAAGAGAAGTCCTTTCCAGTTCATTCTGGCTCTGATTTAGTAAAGTCATGAACTTGCATTGCTTTACTGGGAATTTAAGCATGCACCTAAGTGCTTCCCGTGGCAAAGCAACAAGTATGTGTTTTGATGAATTAGATGGTCTAACGTGACCCATTCTCTTCTCCGCTGTGCAAACTGACCAGACAACAGCTCTGACATCTCTTTGTGAACACACTATGTTCCAAGCTGCAGAGCATCTCCCAATTCCTGCAGTGCAAACAGCTCCCACCCAGCATGCAGTGAAGCACGGAGGGATGCTAGCACTGGACACACAACATTTCCTTGCAATTGCAAATGTAAAAGCAGCATCCCTTGAGTTTATGAATTAGCAACACAGAAGGCATAAGTTAGGTAAAGAGAGAGATTCTTTAAATTGAAAATGTAAATGAATTTTCACCAATGAACAGCATTTATCTTGGCTGAAAATTTTTGCTACTTGATTTAACTGAAAGTGCATCCAATTCACTTATTACATTATTTCAGAATAAAATATGAGAAAAGCAAAGGTTAATGAATCAAGGTAATGAATTATAACTGAGCCAGGAAAAATCCTTCCAGCACTGAGAAACTATTCCTAGCAACACTCTCATCTTTTCTTTTCTTCCTTCTCTATTTAAGCTCCATATCTGTTGTTTCCATCCCCAGTAAAATCCATCCTTCCACCTAGTAGCGCTGTCTTCAGATATGTTCTTGTAGAACCTTGCTTGCAGTAACTGGGTTCTTCCAGAAACAATAAAATCTTTATTTATTATTATCTGTGCAAATCTTTGCTATTTCATGAACTGTCACTATCAGCCCTCCAATACTATATAATAAGAAATTGGCCAGGACATACGTTAACCAGCCATTCCCTCAAGCAGACTCAAAACCTCTTAACCATGTCTTTGATCTGCATGAGTAACACCCAGGGGTGAGGTTGCTTTAGCTTAAAAGTAATCAGTCCCTATATTTTTGAAGTATGAATTCTCTTCCCAGTTGCCAAGAAGACTTATACTGAAGATGTAAGAGAATCAAAATCTAATTCCAATAGTTAGGTGCTCATATCATCTGATTTAGACTATCAATTCACAATCTAAATTCTTTATTTCTCACATAAGCTGTTATTTGCCAGTCAAAACTGATGCAGCTCTAGGTTTGTATTCATTCAACAATGCACTTACTTACTTTGCCTCTTTCCCCCCCATCTACCAAAATTCAGTCTCATTCTTCAGGAAACTGAATGTACTCCAGGGGAAGGGTTGGCCATTTTTAATTTGCTGGCTCAATACTGAGAATTTGGTTTAAGTAAATGAGGAATTGACTACAAGACATTAAAAAAAAAAAAAACATGTAAGGGTCTCATCCAGAAATCTGAATGTAGTTGTCTAGAACTGAATGAAATACCCAAGGGTATTCCAGCCGCAAGGCTCGGGTCCCCTAAAGGGACAATATATCTGCCAGTCTTGTGTGGATACCTCATATACCCTCAAGCACCTAAATTAACACTAAACACCTCTGCTCAGCCTGAAATGTTCCCCTGCCTTATTTAAGTGCTAGTAATTAAGATATAATGCCTGCTAAACTTGGTAAATCTTTTCATTAGTCCATGAGGGTTACTCGTTACAGGTGCCTATATGTGGTCACCTATCTTGTCCTATGCTGAAGAAAAACAACCAGCACAGGCCGCCTATTGTGCAGGCCTACTGGAGAACTGACAGAAAGAAGGCATCATGATTAAAATAGAATGGAAAATAAGCAGTCTAAATATGGCCTATAATCTCTTAAATCAGTGTTTGGCACTTCTGAAGATAAGGCAGCTAAAATATAATTAAAGGGAACAAAAAATGTAAGTAATGGAGTGAGACACTGCAAAAAAGCTTCACACTAAGCCCATGCTCATGGGAAAAGTTGAACTGACCTCAGAAGGCGACCACATAGAGACCTATGAACCCAACTTTAAGTATCCATTATTGATTGCTGCAAGAAGCACCTACACAAATTCAGAGTGGAAATAAGGCTTAAGCAGCAGGGGAAGCTTAATCACTGAAACAATTTCCTAGATGTGGTGGATCTTGAGATCTTGTCTTGAGATCCCACCAGTGTCCAGCGAGCCAGTGTCTCTTAATGAAATACTGCCCTTCTTGAAAACACCTTTTCACCAGGTGGCCCCAGTTTCCAGTATGCAGCAATAATGAGTGCTGGGGAGAATAAACAGAGGTATTGTAAAATAATGTCTTTTTTTTTTCCCCCATGAATTCTACCGAAGGCTCAAAACATCACCATGGAAAACAGCACTGATGTTAAGATAGACACCAAAGGGGAGAGGAAGCCAAGGAAGCAGAATCCATTGAGCAAAGGTGGAAAGAGAGTCTGCAAAGCTGTTGGCTACATCACTGGGGACATGAAGGAATTTGGAGGCTGGCTAAAAGGTAAACCTACTTCATTGTAACTAATTATGAAATTCCAAAGAAATATATAAAAAGAAAAATAACTTCTCAACCGTGGGACTCAGAGTGGAACAGAAAGGACTGCCTTGATTGATTTCATTTTTGTAGGAGAAACTCAGTTTTGTAGAGAGAGCCACACACTGCTTAAACCTTGAGGATGACTGAGATGACATTTACCTCCCAACATACTATGTGTAATGTGAATTTTATCTGAGGGAACGTAGCCCAGGATGTTTATTCTGTGTTCTGTCATTCCTTATAACATTCCCCCTTCTATCAGCTGAGTACTTTCTGTCAAGCCTAATGCCACTGTGAAGTTAAATTACACATAGGTAGGTGTGTTTGGTCCCCATCATAAATCAGCAATGGGATACTCGCTCAATTTGCCATCTGTCACAGACGTCATAAATTAGCCAGTTTATATGAGACTGGTTCAGTGTACTTTATAACAGGGGACTCTGGCAAACACACTGTTCATCTCAGCTTTCCCGCTGCAAGACTTAATACAGCCCATAATAAATCTTAGTCAGCTTTTACAGTCTTGTTGATTCATTGCTTCAGTCGTGCTGCCAAGTTCCACTGCCAAAACAATTCCTGAGTTTCAAAAAGAACCATCCCAAATCAGTCTCATCTGTGCTTTTTTTAATTATTATTGTTATTTAATTTGTTCTCCTTCAGATAAACCTCTTACGATCCAGTTCATTGACTGGGTGCTGCAAGGGATATCCCAGGTGATGTTTGTCAATAACCCCCTCAGTGGGCTTATCATAGTGGCTGGTTTCCTGGTACAGAATCCTTGGTGGACACTCACAGGCTGTTTGGGAACAGTCTCAACTTTGACAGCACTTATGCTGGTCCAGGACAGGTAAGTTCATCCTTTGCTCCTTGAAAACCAAACTGACACTTCAAAGCTGACATAGGTGATGAACAAGCGACACGGGTGAAAAGCACAAGTTTAGCCTCAACCAAAACTGCTAGGAACAGATAGATCTTCCAACCAGCTCCATCTGGCAGGGAGGGACATGGGGCACACAGCTGCAGTGATATGCTAGGCTGCAGAGATGTTTAAGGAGTAGTTGAGGTGGAGAGGACATGAAACTCAAGTGTGAGAGATTGCAGGTCAGTGTGTGAGATGTGGCAGGTCATCATCACCACACAGATTCATAACTGTACAACTGTGTTGAAGACTAGTGCAATTGCAGGAGAAAAGAGTTCAAGATGGTTGGGTTTTGTTCCACACAGATCGGCCATAGCAGCAGGCCTGCATGGCTACAATGGGGTCTTGGTGGGATTGCTCATGGCTGTCTTCTCTGCTAAGGGAGACCACCACTGGTGGCTTCTACTTCCAGTAGCACTGGTGTCTATGACATGGTAAGTCACACATCTCTGGCTTCTCAATCCAGCCCATGTGTCTCTGCACTGAGTCCGAGCCATCATGTTTTTATGTGCTTTACAGGATCCAAATGAAAAAGAAATACAACTGGTATGCTTGTGCTTCTAAAGCTGTATTATTATCTGCACTTTTAAACCTGAATGTAAGCCCAAACCAAATGAAATAAATACACACATAATCACAAATGAATCCAGAGGCCATATGGAAAATTGATGGTTAACCAGAGTTAGTTCAATGCCTTAAATGTTAGCCATATTGCTGCAATGCATCAATTCATTCTTGTCTCAAGAGAAACATTATTTTCACCATTCCCTGCCACCATCAACCACAAGTGTTTCATCTGTTTAAGCCACCATATAAAAAGTCATGAAAATTTGCCACTCTGGGTATAGAGTTAGAAAAGCTGCTCAGTAGTTCTAAGACAATGTTTGATGCTCACAAAAACAAACAATACTTTACTCACATATGTGACACCATACTCTGTCAGGTAGTTGGACAGCCAAAAAAATTGAAAATTGGTCTTTGAGCCCTGAATGTCTGGCTGGATATTACTAAATCTCCATGCAGATCATCAGTCTGACTGAAGTTCATGTAGTTTTATACTCGCTTTAATAAGCATACTTGCAATACCAATGTTTGCTTCTGATGATGCTGAACCACAAGCCTAAGCTAGGACACTTCATTGCAGTTCACCCAGTCTTGGCCCTGGTGTCATAAATTCAATTCACTTAAAGTACACTAAAAAAAAAAAAAAAAAAAAAAACATCACTGAAACCGAGTTGGGGAATAACTCCTCTGAATCACCGGAGCTTCACCAGTTGACACCAGCATGATCTTGGCCCCTTCATGGTCACCAAATTAAACACCATATCATACTGCAAAACATGACAGGAATTCACACACTGCTAACTGAAATGCCCTTTGGAAGGGCATGAAATTTGCAGAGTGATACCAACACATCTCCCACTGTCAGAAAGACTGACAAAAACAATCAGCTTCTAAGAAAAAAAAATGGACAAAATGAATTTCCTGCAGTAGTCCAAATTTTTTTTTTTGCCTAGCAGAGTTACTGAGTCATTTGTGATCACAAGCTCCCAGTGAGATCATTATGTTCTTCTTTCGGCCCCATTTTCACCAGTGCTTTAGGCTCAGTCTTCAGTAAGTGGGATCTGCCAGTTTTCACCCTGCCTTTCAACTTGACCTTGACTCTCTCTGGCTGCCTCAGGACCCCATAACCTCTTCTTCCCTACAACTCTCATTCAGCCTGCAACAACAACACCCAACATCACCTGGACTGATGCTGAAGTGTCAATGGTAGGATTCCCTAAAAATATAGCCTTCTCCATTTACAAAGAAACCCACTATAGAGCCATATTGCCATTTACATTACTGCGACAGGTCCTGGCAATAACAGATTGCATTTATGAAACAGCCATTACTAATTCAGAAAGGTTGACTCTAGGAACTGACATCTTTGATAGCTTCAAAATGAAAATATTTTTGGTATTTGGTATCTTTTTTTTACAATTGGACCTAAATGTATTAATTATAATCTTCAAAGGGCCTCTGAAATCTAATTATGCATTACGATGGGTATACTGGTTGTGGCTCCATAGCTCAGATTATGCTGATACTCCAGTTAACTCATAGATTCTACATAGAAAGTGTTGTTTTCTAAAATATCTGCATAAAAATGCAATCCTTTGGTTAAAAAATGAGTATGCAGATATTACTATGACAAACTTGGGTGAAACATATACATACATTTTTAGCTAATATTCAAGTGGGACCTATCCAAAGTGATATTTAATTCTCCTGCATAGCACAGTAAACAACAGGGATACTAGAGTAACAGTTTTCCCTTAAGGCTCAGCAGACTATTTTAAGCAGTTCCCAGGGAGTTATTAAGAAAAGGAAATTAATTGATGCTAAACAGCAATCCACATAGGTGACATTTCTAAAGGGATCTTTATCTATGATAGATAATTTTATGGGGACCATAAACAGACATCGGTGGGACAGAACATTTTGAGGAAGATTGTCTCAGAATCACCTCTATGCTGTAACCAAGTAGGACTCCATCCCACCAACTCTGCAATTCTCAAGCATTCATATTCCTAGTAAATCCCAAGGGTGTCTGAGATATACAAACAGACATAGTCATACTGGTGTTCTTGTTCTCTGATCTGCCCACCCAGAGGTGAACACCTTTCTGAAGACATTATCTACACAAGCACTTCCATCTTCTGTGTTCATTGTCATGATCCGTAATCATTTGTAGAAATGGCCAAGACAAAGTCAATAGCACATCTAAAGTCAATAAATAAACCCTTCTGAGTCCTTTAATGGAAGATATTTACCTTTGAGACCAAAAATTTGGCCCAGGAGCTACCAATACCAGCTGAAGGAACAAGGCATTAATTATTTTCATTAAAGCCCTGTAGAAATGCCATGCTTTCTCCCTAGAACTGTACACTCTTCCTACCTACAATCTGGAAAGCAAGACCACATCCAGCAAATGCTGAATACAGGCCAAGCCTGTATTCTAGAAAATGACACATTCTGCCCCAGTTGATTCTTTTCTCAGTATCTTAGAGATAAAATAATTAGATCTACCAAATTAGAGAGATGCAATGTAGTGTGAAACGCTTGATAAATAGAGTGAATTTCTATACTGAGGCAGAAAGTGGATGCTCTAAGTTCTTGTGATTGACAGCACACCATGATCCCCATTACCTAGCTTGCTTTGGGGTTACTGATTAAAACATCCTAGTTCTAGGTTTACAGAGGAAAAACACAGCAGTAGCAATGTGGGTTGAGAAATGCATGAATACGTTTAGAGAGAGTCACAATAACTACCAGCTCCATCACACCCTGAGTCAACTTCCCAGAACAACCGCCCAGTTGCTGAGTGAAAGGAGATTCACCAGTGAATTTGTCAGGACATCAGATAAAAATTTGAGCACTTAGTAATTTCCATCCTCATCTGTCCGAATTGGGGGCAAATCCATTCTTCTATCAGGGTCTCTAGGCCATGAATTATTTTAACAAGAAGTCTCCTCAAGAACACATTTGAAGCCAGATTCCCTTGGTTTCAAGGCTGATGTACTGAGCTGGGTTTTTTGATGCCTGGTAGCACAGGCTGCTGCTATGGGCACTAAAAGTCTGTCTTTTCTTCTATCCTGACAGCTAATTTTTACAAAACCTCCAGAACTTAACAGAACTTCTATCATTCAGTCAAATTAGACTGAAAGTGGCCAAGAAAACTAGGTTTTTCAAAAAAATGAATCAACAAAACAGATAACAAATTGTCCTTTCTTTCATTCTTGCAGTTGCTCCAATCCATTCCGGTCGGAGTTAGTCAGGTATATGGCTGTGATAACCCCTGGACTGGGGGGATTTTCCTTGTTGCTCTATTTCTCTCTTCTCCGCTCATTTGCCTGCACGCAGCAATTGGATCAGCAGTGGGGATGCTGGCAGGTAAAGATTTGATTTCTGTCACAGATTTATACAGAAGCACAGCAAATATAAGAACTTGAGTGACTGTAACTTTTACAGTTACAAATGTTTTTTCCATTGGAAAATGACAGCTTGAAAAAGGATATAGACTTATGTCTTAAAAATTCTTTTGATTGACTTCCCCATTTTCTTAACTCATTTTACAGCAGTGGAAATGTTGGGAAGAAAGAAATGTATTTTTCTTTGAAATGATTTTTTATCATGAAATATTCCATTTCTGGGGACATCCTGATGCTTTTAGGAGCAGTTTAATAAAAAAAACATGGCCATGAGTCTGAATGTGCAGGCCTCAGGGATGCATTTACAGTTCAAATGTATCCTTGTTCACCCATATATCTTCCATTGAAATCACAGGGCCAAATTCAGCTCAGCCACACCAGGTAAAGTCCATACTGATTGCATTAGATTAACATGGCTTTAGTCTTAGATTGTAACAACTTGTCTACAAATAGGAACTTGGCCTACACAGGCACGCTTGAGCCGTGGAAAACTTGGAACAACTCCATTTCTAAGCTGCTTTTATTGATTTGACCATGGAATTTTTGACTTATTTTACAGCCCTGAGCTTAGCAACACCTTTTAGCAAAATCTACTCTGGCTTGTGGAATTACAACAGTTCCCTCTCCTGCATCACAATCGGAGGCACGTTCTATGCATTCACCTGACAGACACATTTGTTGGCAATTGCTTGTGGTATGTACGCTGTGGATTTTCACTGATGCTGTATTTCCTTTTGAAGATACAAAATGCATTTGTACTAGGGGTGGGCTGGAGCCAGATGGGTCACATCTAGACCGACAGATGGACTTAGGTGCGATGGACAAATGATTGAGGTGGATGTTGAGCTATTGCTTTATCACACCCTCACAAAACAAAAACAGTGCAATTGTCTTCAGCCAAGGATTACATTCAAAACAAAAGAAATGATAGATGCTGATTAACTAAAGTCTTTGAAATCAGATGTTTCTTTTTGAGGTATTGAATGTGTTCATCAGGTGTTGCTGGATGCATCATGTTGGTCTTTCTCAGTGAAGATATGTCAGATTCCTTCTTTGGAGAAGGGCATATCTAACCCTTGAGAAAACTGGAGCTCAAGATCAGCCTGCATCCATAATTAGACAGTACAATTTCCTACCTCTATTGAAATGGCATGAGTTAGGCACCACAGAATGATTGAAGAATTATTTATAAGGCAATTCCATATGAAATTTCAATATCACGGAGAGCTGTGACTGAAACTATTGCTCATTTAGTGTGCATATAAAAAAGATTTAGCTTTGTATCTCATTGACCCACCTTCTAGCCCTGGAGGCAGGATAAATGTGGGTGGAAGGGCTATTTCCCTATTTAACCCCATCCATCAGGCTACGTACTTTCCACACCAGTATATATTTCAAAAGCCTGTTTCTACAGTCACAATTTTCATTACTCCATCTCTTTTCCTGTTTTGCCCTTTCCGCAGGCTCCGAGTTGAAGGGGACGCTCTGTGCAAAGGGGGCTACCCAGATAGTTTTGTAAATACTGGTTAGGCAGAAGGAGGGAGTTACCCGAGGCAGCATGAGAGCTTGCTCAAGATGCTTGTCCTTTCCTGGCTCCTCAGTGCTATGAGCAACTGAACTCACCAGGAATTATCTTTCTTCTTACAGCACTCTTTAGTGCCTACATGGGAGCAACACTGACTAATATGTTGGCTGTGGTAAGTAGTTTATTAGCTTCGTACAACACAGTAGGACAGTCTTGTTTCCAAATACAAATTTAAACACTTTGTATGTGCTCCTGACTTGTGAGGCAAAAGATGGAGACTTGGAGAACAATTCGGCCAAATGCAGAAGAGACCCAGGAGAGGGACACAGTCTGCTCAGGGAGTTGTGGTCCCCACTGAAACAGGTCACTTGCAACCATTATTTACCATTTTTCATGCCTGGAGCTCACATGAACTTCCAGAGATCGGTCCTTAACACCCCCAAAATAGTTACGTGGCCATACTTTTTGCCTGGAGCAACGGAGAAAGGGACCTGCCATGTGTGTGAGCAAACCTTGAGTTTGTTTCTAATTGCTTTGCCCGAGTGCCAAAAAGCAGTAAGTACAACAGCCCGGGGTAAAACTGAATGTTTCTGGTACTGTATAGGAGATGGATATCTTTATGATCTGTAAGGTCATAAAAATCTCCTGGGGGAAGCAGAACACAGACCTTGAGACAGAAGATGTTTGCCTGGCCTGAGTGATAAGGAGCATGGAGGTGGCTGCTCAGCCAGTTTCACAGCTGACCTCCTCTAAAAACCAGTTGATGCCGGCTGCTTGATCAAGCTTGCAGCCAACTTAACTGCAGACATCTTCTAAACTAGTTTTGGAGGCAAAACACCCGGGAAGGAGGAAGACGATGAGAAAGACAGGACCTTCAGATTGAGGGCTGGGACCCCTTCCCCCCTCCC